GGTGCGGGATTGGGGGTGGGTCTGGGGATGAGGAGTTTGGGGTGTAGGAGGGTGCTCTGGCCTGGGACTGAGGGGTTCAGAGAGCAGGAGGGGTATCAGGGCTGGTGCAGGAAGGGGTGCAGGTTTTGGCTGGGGGTGGGGGCTCTGGGGTGGGGCTGGGTATGAGAGGTTTGGGGTGCAGGAGGGAGCTCTAGGCTGGGATTGAGGGCTTTGGAGAGTGGGAGGGGGATCAGGGCTGGGGTAGGGGCGTAGGGAGAGGCGCAGGGGGTGCAGGCTCTGAGCAGCACTTGCCATTGCTTCCAGGAGCCGCTTGAGTTATGTCCCTTCTCCGGCTCCTACGCAGAGGTGTGGCTCTGCACGATGCCCCATCCGCAGGCACCGCCCCTGTAGCTCCCATTGGAGCATGAAGGAGCCAGAGCGGGGGCATGCCACAGCTTCTGGGAGCTGCGTGGTGCAGTCCCCGGCCCTGCGCCCTGGCTGGAGCGGGGCCGAGCCGTGTGGTGCGGCCCCTGACCCAGCGCCCCAGCCGGAGCAGGGCTGAGCCGCATGGTGCAGCTTGCGGGCCGTCTTAAAACTGCTCACAGGCTGTAGTTTGCCCACCCCTGGAATACTGATATACCCAGCCAATAGTATGTTGATACACAGTCCCTGTGTGCTACAAATGCCCTAAAGACATTGCAATTTGCAAGCAACTATAGGTTTCCATGGTAGAAGACTTCCACAACTGTACAGCCCTGTTCATCTACATCCTAACTATGATATGGCATTGGTTAGTTGCAATCCCTGGGACAAGAGGTTTGCCTCAACTCCAAGTCGCCCTAGTGCATGGCTGCAACACTTTTTGGACAGAAAAACCACGTGTGGCTTCAGAATATAGCATACTCATCTCATGCTAGAAGCAGTATCTATGTCAGAGTGTGCAGGCACCGTTCTATTAAAAATAATGGTGCTGTTTAGACAACTGTGCTTGATCCTTCCCTTACCATCCTTGGTTTTACATCTGTCTAATTTCAAACAAAAATCTAGCACTGTACAACATCAATAAAGCACTTGTTAAAATTGATAAATAAGTGACTGAGATCTCAAAAAAGTAGTTGTCAATGGGGAATCATTATTAAGGCTGCGAGTTTGTCACAGAAGTCCAGGATTTCATGACTTTCCAGGACCTCCATGACTTCTGCAGCAGCTGGCCCCGGGGGCTGCTTGAGCAGTTCGGGCAGCCCCCGGGCCAGCCACACTGGCCACTGCTGGGGCAGTCTCGGTCCACAGTGCCCCCCATCCAACAGCAGCAGCAGGAGTTTGGGTGTGGGAGGGGGCTCAGGGCTGGGGCACAGGAGGGGTGAGGGCTCCAGGCAGCGCTTATCTTGGGGGGGGGCTCCCCGGAAGCAGCGACATCTCTCAGCTCCTAGGCAGAGGCGTGGCCAGACAGCTCTGCATGCTACCTCCACCTGCGGGCACCAACCCTGCAGCTCCCCTTGGCTGCGGTTCCCAGCCAATGGGAGTTGTGGAGCCAGCACTTGGGGTGGAGGCACCGCACAGAGCTGCCTGGCCATGCCTCTGAGCTGAGGGAGGGGGATGACACTGCTTCTGGGCAGGTGCAGAGTCAGGTAGGGAGCCTGCCAGCCCCACCAACTGCCCCTGCCAGCACCTGCGGCGCCCCCCGGGGCCACGCTCCATCCTACCCCCATGGCAACCCCAAGGCCATGTCCCACCGCAACCCCAAGATTTAGTCAGGGGTATATAGTACAAGTCATGGACAGGTCACTGGCTGTGAATTTTTGTTTATTGCCCGTGACCTGTCCATGACTTTTACTAAAGATACTAGTGACTAAAATGTAGCCTTATTCATTATCAAACATGGGTGTTTGTAATGCGGTTCTGGAAGAATCCGTTCTAGACCCAATGCTATTTAATATTTTTATCAACGATCTGGAAGTAAATGTAAAAATCACTGCTGATTATGTTATCCACTAATTTTAAGATTGTCTGAGTGGTAAATAAGAACCATCATGCAGAGAAATTGAGATCATTTGGTAAGCTGAGCTCATTCAAACAAAATGTATTAATGAAGTCAAATACAAGGTCATACATCTAGGAAGAAAGAATATTGTTAAGACTGATACTGGTGTTTATTCTGGTGTCCACATTTTAAAAAGGATGTTGAAAAATTAAAGATGGTGCAGAAAATAGCCACAAAAGTTATTTGAAGGCTGGAAATACTGCTTTACGCTAGGAGACTTTTAGCATTTAGCTGTTTAGCTTATCAAAAAGAAGGTGAGCTGATCATGGTGTATAAGTACCTTCTCAGGGAGAGAATACAGATACTAAAGGGCTCTTGAACCTAGCTGAGAGAGGTATAGTGGCTGGAACAGTGGTGGGCAATCTGTGGCCCATCAGGGTAATCTGCTGGCGGGCTGTGAGACAGTTTATTTATATTGACCGTCTGCAGACACGGCTGCCTGCAGCTCCCAGTGGCCATGGTTTGCCGTTCCTGGCCAATGGGAGCTGCGGGAAGTGGCCTGGGCTGCAGGGACATGCTGGCCGCCACTTCCTGCGGCTCCCATTGGCTGGGAACAGCAAACCACGGCCACTGGGAGCTGCGGGCGGCCGTGCCTGTGGACGGTCAATGTAAACAAACTGTCTCGTGGCCCACCAGCAGATCACCCTGACGGGCCACAGGTTGCCCACCACTGGGCTGGAAGCTAAAGCCAGACAAATTCAAATTAGAAATAAGGTGAAATTTTTAACAGAGAGAGCGATTAACCACTTGCCAAAGCTACCAAGGGAGATGGTAGATTCTCTCTCTTCAAGATTTCAAATCAGAACTGGGTGCCTTTCTGGAAGCTATGCTTTAGTCACGTTATTGGGCTCTATATGGGGTAAGTGGTTGAAATTCTATGGCCTGTGTTACACCGGAGGTCAGATTAGATGATCTAAGGGTCCCTTCTGGCCTTAAAATCTATGAATTATGTTATTCCTGATTTACACTGCTGTAAAAGGAGAATCAAGCCCACTGAATTATGCAGAGAAAATTGAGACAACAGTTTCATGCAATTGATGTCCTTGCAATGGTTACATCATGGTAGAGACTGCCCTGCCTTGTTGATGGTAGGATGGGCCTCTGAACACCCCCTGTGGGCCTCAACATGGCCTGCTGAATACCTGCTGGGAACTCCTGAACAGCCACCAGAATAACTACTGGGGACTACTTCTGGGGACATTGTGACAGACTCCTGTACACTAACTGTAGGTCCAGGGACAGACACTGGGAGTTGCAGGAGTGACCCTTCAACACCCCTTGAATGCTCCTTGAGATGCTGGGATGGACCCTTGGAGCAACCTGAGTGGGCCCCTGGGGACATGGAGGGGCCCTGAACACCCCCTACACACTGGTCCAGGCCCTGAATAATCTCGGGTCACCAGAATGAGCCCCTGAACATTCCTTGGGGACCCATGGATTGTGCCCCTGAATGCCATCTGTGGGCCCTGGAACGGACCCTCAAACATCCCTTGGAGCAGCAGACTTGGTATACACAGCATACATCATCATCGCAACCTCACTTAGACCCTAACTTTACTTACATGAGTAGGCCCAGCCCCTGGGCTGCTCTAACTTATGCCAACAACTACAGGGAGGATCAGTATTAGTGAGGTGTTGTAACAATGCTGGTCTTGATGGGACCCAACGGAGAGTGCCAATTCAGGACAAATTGCTTAAAGCAGGGCAGTTACAGCCCAAGGCTGGGGTTTTTCCACCTCTAAGGCACACCAAACCAGCCAGACAGAGAGGACTTTGGTTTTGTCCCACTGGCTAACCACAAGTCACACAAGCAATTCCCTTAGACACTCCAGTTTCCCAGTATCACCACCAGTGCCACTCGTTATGGGGGCAAATGGTTATGAAGACCAATACCCAGTAAAAGGAAAAAAGGTTTTCTCGATTGCAAAGGACCAAGCCCCAGACCCAGGTCAATATATAAATCAGATCTTACCCACAAATCATGCTGTTGCCAATCCTTTAGAATCTAAAGTCTAAAGGGTTATTCATAAAGGAAGAAGATATAGATGAGAGCAAGAATTGGTTAAATGGAATCAATTACATACAGTAATGGCAAAGTTTTTGGTTTAGGCTTGTAGCAGTGATAGAATAAACTGCAGGTTCAAATCAAGTCTCTGGAACATTCCCAGCTGGGACGGGTCATCAGTCCTTTGTGTAGAGCTTCCATTGGTAGCAAAGTCCCTCCAGAGGTAAGAAGCAGGATTGAAGACAAGATGGAGATGAGGCATCAGCCTTTTATAGTCTTTTCCAGGTGTAAGAACACTTCTTTGTTCTTACTGTGGAAAATTACAGCAAAATGGAGTCTGGAGTCACATGGGCAAGTCCCTGCATACTTTGCTGAGTCACAAGACGTATCTGCCTTCTCTCAATGGGTCAATTGTATAGCTGATGGTTCTTAATGGGCCATCAAGCAGGCTAGGCAGAGCTGACACCAACTTGTCTGGGGTATCATCCAGAAGCATAGCATATTTTGAAATACAGACAGTATAGAGCCAATATTCGTAACTTTAACTACAAAAATGATACACACATATAGACAGCATAATCATAACCAGCAAACCATAACCTTGTCTTAGACACCTTATTTGACTTCCTTTATACCAGATTTGGTGCCACTACAGGACCTTGGTTGCAACAATGATCTATATGGTCCCAGTTTATGTCAATAACGTGACAGGTGTGAAGGTGGCTTAAAGCCACCCTCTCCTCTCAAGCTCTGTGTAAACTTGTCTCTCTCACCACCAGAAGTTGGTCCAATAAAAGATATTACCTCACCCACCTTGTCTCTCTCATATCATGGGACCGATACAGCTACAACAGCACTGCCACCTTTACTCATGTACGCAATCTGGTCCCCCGACACTGGCCTCATGTTATGAAACCACAAATAGTTTTGTCCAGTTTGCTTTTGTCTCTACTTGATGTGCTGGTAGTTCAGTATACGGTATGCAAGTCATGTAAACCTGGAGATAAGTTGTTTAGATTGTAGACAGGCACAACAAACTTAGCAACCAGGCTACATGGCCTGTACTCAGAGCTAGTCATAAGAGCATGCTAGCAACGCATAGGGCTGGGCTTAGTGACGCTTTGAGGCAAAGGCTAGCAACAATTAAGAAAGGAGTGACAATTTCAAGCTGAGCAACATTGCAGCGACCATGACCTATCCCCAGCACAAGAGATTGCAATAAGAAATAGCAAAGAAAGCTGTGCTTGGAATATCTGTGTTGCCCTTAGTCATTCATTTGAGCCTGGGAACTTTTTATATATATATATATATATATATTGTCTTTTATTGTCACCCACTCATACTGAGGAGACTGTTTAATGGAATGCTTCTCGGAAGATCCTCGAGGACAAAAATAACTGAAAATAAAAGCTGTCTCCCTAGTTTAGCTGTGTAATCCACATCTACCCACCTCTTACTCTGAAAAATTGCCACAATGACAGACCCTGCCATGGTAGATCACATGACCCGACTGAAACTCAGACTCCTGGAGAAGGTAAGATAACAAGGCAGCATTCATATTTTTGTAAACCTTCAAATAATTATATTAATTATCATTATTATAACAATGACAATTATAGTTATTAACTAAAAAATCATGCAAATCACAGGACTTGGTGATGGTGGGGGACTTCAACTACCCAGACATCTGTTAGGAAAATACAGGAGGGCACAGATTATCCAACCAGTTCTTAGAATGCCTAGGGCAGCTTTTTATTATAGAAGGTGGAGAAAGTGACTAGGGGAAAGGCTTTTCTAGATTTGATTCTGACGAATAAGGAGGAACTAGTTGAAAATTTGAAGGTGGAAGTCAGTTTGGGTGAAAGTGATCATGAAGTGATAGAGTTTATGATTCTAAGGTATGGTAGAAGGGAAAACAGCAGAATAAAGACAATGGATTTCAAGAAGGCAGGTTTTAGCCAAGTCAGAGAATTGTTAGGTTTAAGATCCCATGGGAAGCAAGGCTAGGTGAAAAAAAGAAGTTTAGGAGAGTTGGCACTTTTGTAAAGGGACATTATTAAGGGCACAAAACGCAAACTATCCCAACATGTAGGAAAGATAAGCTGGGGGGGGTGTATTTTACCATACTTCCTAACCAGCAGATCTTCAGTGACCTGAAACTCAAAAAAAGATTCATACCAAAGTAGGTCAACTTACAAAGGCTGAACATGGAAAAAAACAACATAAGCATGCAGAGACAAAATTAAAAAGGCCAAGACACAAAACAAGATTAAACTAGCTAGGGACATAAAGGGTCACAAGAAAATATTTATAAATCCATTAGAAACAAGAGGAAGACCAAGGGATTGGTCCTGCTTTGAGCAGGGGGTTGGACTAGATGACCTCCTGAGGTCCCTTCCAACCCTGATAGTCTATGGATCTATGACAAGGTAGGATCATTACTCAATGAAGATAGGGTTACCATAGGTCCGTATTTTCCCGGACATGCCCGGCTTTTTAGTTGTTAATTCGCCATCCAGGAAGAATTTTTAAATATGTAAAAATGTCTGGGAAAATGCGGACCTATGGTAACCCTACCGTGAAAGTGATGCGGGGCTGAGCGGGGGAAGCGGAGGCCGCCGGCGTGAGCCGGGCAGGGGTAGCAGGGGCCGCTGGCGGGGGCTGGGTTCGCTCCTGGCCTTGCGTTGCGGCGATGAGCAGGAAGCCACAGCCCGGCCCATATCAGCGGGCGGCAGGTGGGGCCTGCGCTCCAGCTCCATGGGTGGCGGGGGGCAGCGGCTGTAGGTGCCTCCGGCAGGGCCGGGAAACAGCAGCAGCAGCGTGGCTCTCCAGCCCCATGATGGGCTACACTCCCCACCTGCCCCTGCTACTGTGGAGGCTGCCGCCGCCCTGGGCTCAGGCTGCCTGGCTCCCCCCGAGCGGTGCCCGGTTCCTGCTGCTCTCGGCCAGCAGGTGCGGGGCCCCAGCCGAGCCCGGCCCCTTGTGTCTCCTCCGGAGTGGCGCTCCCCGCTCTGCGTCTTCCTCGGCGGCTGCGGCGGCAGCGGCCGGGGAGCCTGAGAGGAGGAGCGGCCCCCAGGCAAGTGGGGAAGACTCTGAGGTGAAGAGGCTGCTGGCCCTGGTGCAGCCCGAACGCTGGAGACTGACAGGTACCTGCCCCTGCCCCATCCCGGCACCACCTGCCCCTCGGCCCAGTGAGTGTTACCTACCCACCAGCCTCAGTGCCCTGCCCTATACTGTCAGCCACTCCAATCTCACTGTGAGGTTAGCATCTGAGACAGGCCAGAAGGCAAACAGAGAGTCAGGTATCAGAAGGCAGGCAGGGTCAGGTTACCAGATGATCAGCAACAGGCACAAAGAGCAGGAATCACAGGGGAAACAGCCCTAAAGCAGGGAGAACACAGTTGCATGGCCAACTTCCTGTTCCTGTGCTTGGGTTAAATATAGTGTGGGGACTAATCAGGATCTGCATGGTTTCATAAGAACGGCCGTACTGGGTCAGACCAAAGGTCCCTCTAGCCCAGTATCCTGACAGTGGCCAATGCCAGGTGCCCCAGAGGGAGTGAACCTAACAGGTAATGATCAAGTGATCTCTCTCCTGCCATCCATCTCCACCCTCTGACAAACAGAGGCTAGGGACACCATTCCTTACCCATCCTGGCTAATAGCCATTAATGGACCTAACCTCCTAACCTCCATGAATTTATCCAGTTCTCTTTTAAACGCTGTTATAGTCCTAGCCTTCACAACCTCCTCAGGCAAGGAGTTCCACAAGTTGACTGAGCGCTGTGTGAAGAAGAACTTCCTTTTGTTTGTTTTAAACCTGCTGCCTATTAATTTCATTTGGTGACCCCTAGTTCTTGTATTATGGGAATAAGTAAATAACTTTTCCTTATCTACTTTCTCCACATCACTCATGATTTTATATACCTCTATCATATCCCCCCTTAGTCTCCTCTGAAAAGTCCTAGTCTCTTTAATCTCTCCTCATATGGGACCCGTTCCAACCTCTAATCATTTTAGTTGCCCTTCTCTGAACCTTTTCCAGTGCCAGTATATCTTTTTTGAGATGAGGAGACCACATCTGTACGCAGTATTCGAGATGAGGGCGTACCATCAATTTATATAAGGGCAATAATATATTCTCCATCTTATTCTCTATCCCCTTTTTAATGATTCCTAACATCCTGTTTGCTTTTTTGACCGCCTCTGCACACTGCGTGGACATCTTCAGAGAACTATCCACGATGACTCCAAGATCTTTTTCCTGATTTGTTGTAGCGAAATTAGCCCCCATCATATTGTATGTATAGTTGGGGTTATTTTTTCCAATGTCCATTACTTTACATTTATCCACATTAAACTTCATTTGCCATTTTGTTGCCCAATCACTTAGTTTTGTGAGATTTGTTTCACCAATCAGATCTCAGGACTAGAGTTCAGCTGCTATTCTAGAAACTGCTAGCATACCACTAGGTGGCAGATGGGGACTACCTAGCTTTTATAAGCCCTGGGGATCAGGGTTTGAGACCCATGTGATCCCTAAGATGTGTATTTGTTAAGAAAATTGTGTCAAACTAACTTAATAGCCTCCCTTGACAGGATAACAAGCCTTATAGATGGGGGAAGCAGTAGATGTGAGTTACTTTTACTTCAGTAAAGCTTTTGATACCGTCTCACATGACCTTCTCGTAAACAAACTGGGGCAATATAGCCTTAGACTATCCTACTATAACATGGATGCACAACTTGGAAAACTGTGGTCAGAGAATAGTTATCAATGGCTCACAGTCAAGCTGGAAGGGAGTATCAAGTGAGATCCCACAGATAGCTGTCCTACATCTGGTTCTATTCAATACCTTCATCAATTATTTGGATAATGGGATAGACAGTAGAGTTATAAAGTATGCAGATGACACCAAGCTGGGAGGGGTTGCAAGCACTTTGGAGGACAAGATTAGAATTAAAAATTATCTTGACAAACTGAAGAAATTATCTGAAATAAATAGGATGAAGTTCAATAAGGACAAATGCAAAGTATTACACTTTGGAAGGAATAATCAATTGCACAAATACAAAATGAGAAATGGGTGTCTAGAAAGGAGTACTGCAGAAAAGGATCTGGGGGTTACAGTGGATCACAAACTAAATATGAGTCAACAATGTAATATCGTTGCAAGAAAATTGAACATCATTCTGGGATACATTAGCAGGAGTGTTGTAAGCAAGACACAAGAAGTAATCCTTCCACACTACTCAGCACCAATAAGGCATCAACTGGAGCATTGTGTTCAGTTATGGGTACCACACTTTGGGAAAGATGTGGACAAATTGGAGAAAATCCAGAAGAGAGCAACAAAAATGATTACAGTTCTGGAAAACATGAATTATGAGGAAAGATTGGGAAAAAAAGGGTTGTTTAGTCTGGAGAAAAGGCAACTGAAGGGGGACATGATAACAGTCTTCAAGTATGTACAGGGTTGTTATAAAGAGGAGGGTGATAAATTGGTTTTTTTTACTCACTGAGGACAGGACAAGAAGTGAAGAGTTTAAACTGCAGCAAGGGAGATACAGATTAGACATTAGGAATAACTTCTTAACTGGAAGGATAGTTAAGCATTGGAACAAATTTCATAGGGAGTTTGTGGAATCTCTATCATTGGAGATTAAGAACAACTAGAGAAACATCTGATAGGGATGGTCTAGCTAATACTTAGTCCTGCCTCAATGTAGGGGACTGGACTAGATGACCTATTGACATTCCTTCCAGTCCTACATTTCTATGATTCTGTGACTGTACTTCACCCAAAACACAAGAAGCGTTCGGCATCCAACTCATTATCTTTTTCCTATAGTGAGAAGCCAAACAGTGTGCAGCATTAGAGTATCATAATTATAATTATTTTAAGAGAATAAAATAATTTTATAATATCAATGTTATATGAACCTTAAAACAAATTAAAGGGGGGAAATAATGATAGAGTGATTACCATCCCATAATGTCAAAGTAATAGTTGGTTAACTAAACAAGCTTACGTTGCCTATGAAATAAAAATTTCAATGTCACTATCATTTAGCAAAGCAGCACAAACAGGTGCATCCCAAGGGCAGGAAGGGGCTAAGTTGGCTTTTAGACATCTTTGTGCCCTCCTGATTATGGATTGCTTTGGGGTCCAGTGTGGTCCCCAATGCAACTTAGGCAACCCATCTGCAAATGCCTGTGGGCTGCAGTGCCATACAGAATCTCTGAAGCACTCTACTCTGTGGCCCTGCCCCCTACCACACCTGGCACGCCTCCCTCCTCGGCACATCCTCTAGGCACAGGCTTGCAGAGAGTCCTGCCTAAGGCTACGATGGCACCATCAGTGGAAGCTGTTTGGGTTGGGGATCCATGGGAGTGGAGGAGATTTGACTGCAGGGATTATTTATTTAGCGTGTGCATAGTCGTCTAGCCGAGTGATGGCATCTTCAGTGGTGTGATGCAGTTCTTCTAGGCCACCGCTGAACCCAGTCAGCGGGCATTCGGCGACAATGTGCGTCATCGTCTGTGTTGTGCTGTAGCTGCACAAAGGGCTGTCACGAAGGCCCCAGCGATACTGGTTGGCTACACAGAGACCTTGGATCAGCGTTCCCGTCGTGCCACCCACCAGTACCTGACAGCAGTCAGGGAAGCTAATGATCCAACCACCAAGCCGAATTCCATGAGCACCAGCTCAACGAATCCCAGCACTGTCATCACTGACAACCCCAGCATGCAGCCCGATGACTTCTATGTCATTGGTCCAGCTCTAGGCATGTTACAACTCAACATGGAGGGTTTGTCGGCTGCCAAGCGTGATGTACTGCAGGGATGGATGCGGTTCACATATCATTTGCCCATCAACCTTGAAGTAAATTCCTCCCTCTGTGCTGTGGAATTCTCTTTTAGTCTTGGGGGCATCTGCTGACTGGCAGGGGAACTATTGGCACTGCAGATCCAGAGGGCCAAGGAAATGCAGAAACACAAGGCCTGCACGCAGATAACCTTGTTATCTCTGGATTTCCAAGATCTGTGGGCACTGGGGATTAATCCACTACATGTCTCTAATGCGCCAAAGGAAATGATGCTGGGGAAACTCTGAGAATGGTGCTTCACAGATTTTCCAGTCCCTCATGCAAGTAATTCCCATGGAAGGGATTATCTGGCCCCTTGGCACTAAAGTTCATTCTTTAACCAAACTAGATTTACACTTAACCATTTTGGGATCAATAGACTTTTACAAATATCAGTCTGTTTTCATTTTTGTATATTTATGACATTCTAAATAGTCTGTAATTGTCAAGGTTCTGGGATCTGCTCTAACTTGTTCAAGGCAGCACCGACCGTTCAGCCTAGGGCACTGATTTGGCCAGCTTCTCCATGTGAACAGACCCCTATTCTCACATGGAGCAACTGCCAGGATTAGGGCCTACAACTGCAGAATGTTGAGGAATTGCTATTGTGACGCAGTTAGTGAGGGGCATACATCTTCTAGTTTGCCTACCACAGGAAAAGCCCTTGAGGTGGCCCATGGGCCTCTAAAATGAAACCCAGGATGTGCTGTGGGGATAGTCTGCCGCTTGGAGCAGTTATTTCATTAGAATTCAGCTCTGTAACATGATTCCCTGTGATTAGCAAACGACAATAACAAAATCATTTGGGTGCTTGTATTCCCTGGAAATGCTCCCTTGGAAAGCATACACATTTTTTGATGAGATGCAGGTCTTGATCATTTTTGGTTTAATTTTTCTGTTGCACCTCACAGATCCAGGGTCTTTGCTTCTTCTACCTTAGGCAAAGGAGATTCAACAAAGACCTAGGTATTGTCCTAGGTCTAGGTGGGGGTTTTAGACTTTTTTTTTAAACAGTGATTATATTTTACCTCAAGATATGCCAGGAGGAAAGTACCTGCACTTCTAATAATTCCATGCAGACAGCCACACTGCCCACATGTTTGTGTATTAAAGGGGTATTTGTTTTACCTGTGCACTCTTGCTTTTTTGTAATATTTAAAAATGGCATCAATCATTTTTTTCTTTATATGTGTGTGTGTGTGTATACGCCAAGGTTCTTCTTGTGTTTTAGCCTATGGGTAGAAGGATGGTCAAGTTTTCCCTTCCCTGTTTGTGCTGGAGGACCCTCTGGAGGATTGGAGAGCTCACCTCAGGCCCCAACTAAAGGGAAAGGGGTAGGGTGACCATACATCCCGTTTTGGCCAGGACAGTCCCTTTTTTAAGCTCTGTCCTGGCCATCCCGACTTTTTTTTTCCCCAAAAGGAGGCATTTGTCACATTTACTCTTGCTGACTTCATCAGTTTGCTCTTGCCAATGGGAGAAATGCCCACTTTTGTCAAAAAAAGTGGGGTGTGGTGCAAAGGGGGCAAGCAGAGATGCCAGCTCCCCAGAGGGGGGGAGGCAGCAGTGTTCTAGCATGGGGGGGGCAGGGTTCCAGCAACAGGCTAGAGCCTTCTGAGGGGGCCCCACAGGGTTCCAGCGACGGGCAACAACCTCACGCGGAGCGTGTGTGTGTGTGTGTTGGGGGGGGGGCAAATACACACAGCAAGCCTGGGAGAAGGCAGCAGCTGCAGTTGTAAAAAGACAGAGCCTTTCATTCACCCTCTCTCCCTAGCGTAGTGGTTCTCAACCTGTGCCCCAAGCAGCACACTGCTGCAGCCCCTGTGACAGCCTCAGAGCCACACAGGTACTAGATATATTGTGTGGATGCAGCCCACATAACACAGAGAGCTGCATCTGGGCCCATAATGGTAAATAAGTTGAGAACCACCGCCCTAGCAGCTATACTTTATTTGTACAACACATGTGAAATAGGACAAATATTTGTCCTATATACTCAAATAACCATGTGCCTTTCATTTAAACCTTCACTGTACGTGACTTTCTACATTGGGTCTCTACCTTATTTTTGCACATCAGTACATTTGGGAGAACAGTTAAAGTCCCAAAAAAGGTCTTGATCCTGTGCCATGCTGAGCTCCCTCCGGTCCCATTTACTTCCAGCTCTTTGTTTTTTCCTGTGTGTAGTTTAGAGGTGCTTAAACTTGTTGAAATCAGTTACGTTAAATAAAAAATTAAAAAAAATCCAGCTGACCCTGGTCCTTGGCTCTGCCGGGACAATGCTGTCTTTAGGGCTACTTACCCCTGGCCCTGGGTGGATCACCTCTGTGTAAGGGGATTCTCCGATGATGTGGAGGCAATATAGCAGTTTCCACATGACCTCTCTTCTCTTCCACATGACCTCCTGCAGCTTCTGCAGGAGATAAGACTGAGGCTTCCTTTCACGTTATATTAACATCCAAACTGTCTTCGAAGTACCCTAACTTGTCACTATGGGACTGGCAAATCACCAAGGCAACCCCCCCTGAACCTCCAACCCTAGCCCGGGAGTTCCCAGCCACAGCCAAGGATGTGGCTAGTAGCTCTGTACGGGATTCATTTTTCTATTGCAGATGCACAATAAGTATGACTAGCAGGAAGTGAGAGATGTCCCTTCTCTCCAACTCCATTTTATTTCCTTGTGTCCCAAAAGTGTGTTTGTCATGCAGGGCTGGATAGTCTTGTGAGCCTCAGTCCCTGACTTTTAATCAATTCTCCCAATGGTTTTATCCACAGAAACTAGAAAACGAACGTGAGACCCTGGAGAAGGTTGAGTCCCCCCTCTCCACAGCAAGTAAGAGAGAAAAGATTTGCTCTAGTTTGGATCATAGTTTGATGCAGCAATCACTGAGTGATGTTCTCTGGCCTGGGCGACTCAGGAGGTCAATGGTCTCTTCCGGCCTTCAAACCTAGAAGATGCATCTCTGCTCTCACCCACCACACCCAGTGAGGCAGTCAGAAAGCACCCTATGTTTATTATGTCAATAGGAATATTACAGTGTGACAGGAAAGTGGCCTCAAACTCCTTCTGGTGCTGCCTTCCCTCAGTCTAGGCATCTTGTACAGCTGTCTAACCTACAGTAAGGGGACTGTTGGCCCCTTACTAAAACTCAGTGGGGTTTTTTGGCTGGCTAGCTCCCAGTGCCAAAAGAAAGGGGAAGGGCCAATGGGAGATCAGGACCCTGAGACTGAGGGTCAATGGGAAATCAGGGGCAATGGGGAGAGGTCAATGCTCCAGGTCAGCCTGATTGACATGGCGGGCAGGCCAATGAGGGAGTCAGGAGGTCAGGAGTGTCCCATCCTCTGTGTGAGCTGGAATTGCCTGGATCAGACAGAGTGGGGCTGAGCTAAGGAGAGAGCAGGGCCAGGGCCAGGGCCTGAGCTGGGGAGCAGAGTCGTGCCGGCCAGAGAGAACAACCAGAGAAGCCGCCCAGGGAGCGGGTCAGAGCTGGGAGCAGAGCTGTGTGTGTGTGCAGCAATCAGAGGCAGAGGGGCCAGACAAACAGCCCAGGGCTGGAGGCAGAGTGGAACTGGAGCAGTCTGGAGCCAGGAGCGGGGAGCAGCTGGGCAGGGTGAGGGGGACTCTGGGCAGCAGGTTCAGTGCAGGGAGATGCCCCCAGCCAGGAGGCCTTGCAGGCCAGACTTGGAGGGGGATCGTAACCCCCAACTCTCAGGGGGCCATTTAGGGATCTGGGGCAAAAAACTGATGCTGGGAAGAACGGTCCTGCCACCTAGAGCCTGAGGGCGTGTGGCCACCGCCAGAGCAAGCGTCTGACCCACAGCCTCCCTGCAGCACAGCCAGGGCCTGGGCAGGAGGCCTGCGACGTGTGAGGAGCAGACTGAACTGTCCTTACTTTCCAGAGACGCTGGTTGTGGTGTCCCTGTGCCACAGAATGGGGTGACGGGTTTTCCTTTGACCTTTCCCATGTTTTCCTTTTTTTTTTTAAATTGATTTCTAAATAAATTGTATTTGCTTTGAACTATATGTAATGATCAGTGGGCCAGGGAAGCACCCAGGGCAGAGACCACCCCAGAGTGGGGACACCCTAGTCCCTGCCCTAAGTGACCACGACAAGGTTGGGGGTTGAGCCCCCCTCCCCCCAGCAATCCTGGGCCCAGCCTTATTGGGGTTATGAGAACTCTGCCCCCCATTGGCCTGCTAAACCCGGGGTTGTGAGTTCAATCCTTCAGGGGGCCATTTAGGGAACTGGGGCAAAAATCTGTCTGGGGATTGATCCTGCTTTGAGCAGAGGGTTGGACTAGATGACCTCCTGAGGTCCCTTCCAACCCTGATATTCTATGAGTCTATGTAAGAGAGTGGAAGGGGAGTCCTCGAGGGCAGGGAGGCCTCTGGGTAAAGGAAGTGGGAGCGAGGACTCAGATCCTTCCGCTAGCCCATTTCACCGGGGTAGCGTATAAGCCAGGAAAGTTCCCCACAATAGCAGGCCTATATCTCCTACTAAGATAACCGATCTGCCTTCAGATCCACAGGCCAGCAGGAGCTGGGGCAGGGTGAAGACGCAGCCCTTAACGGGAGGAAAGCATTTGCCACTCAGCAGTGATCCATCTTGAAATCAGTGCTGGAATGAAATACCAATTGTTCCAGCGGGTGATGAGGAAGGGCACAGTGCACTAGGCAGCCATTTGATTTTGATTGCTCGAATTTCTCCTTCTCTCCCCCCCCCCATTTCATTTGTGTGTGTCTAAAAGAGCAGACAGGGCCAGATCCTCAGCTATTTCTGAGCAGCGCTTAGTGTAGCAGAGGCCATACCCCCAGCAGTCATGACGGAGTGTGTATAAAGGAGCCACTAAGCAGGAATAATCCTTCAGTCACCTGCTAAGTCAGTGTTGGCCTGCTTTGCACCAGCAAAGCTGCACAGAGCAGAACACAGATCACAGTTTGTAGAATGTGAATCAAATGGGGGAGAGAGGATGCCAGATTATTAAACCCAGGGAGTAGGCGTGTGCTGGCCAAGCAGATGCAATTGGAAACCAACATCCGTATTCCCCAGGTTGCTGTGAAACTTGTGCAAAGAATGTCAGATAACATGCACAAGTGATACAAATATATTGGGGTGATGTAAGGGCCAAGGGGACCTCCTGTCTATGGGAACTCAGTGTTTAAGTGAAACATCCGATAAGTCTGTGCTTTTCTAACTGAAACCATCTGCCAGTGATAAGGGCTGCCATAGTATCTGTTATCCACCAACTTTCTCTTCTTCCCTAGCTCCTGTAATAGAGACTCATATCTAGGTTTCAGATCATAGCAATTTCTTAAGCATGATAGGATTCCAGATCATGAAGACTGCCTGTTCCATGAGCCAGAATCTACACATACATATCACTCATCGCTATGCTGTACATGGATTAAAAATTAACTGAGTATCTATGTGCACCCAGTAACATTTCTTTCTAGGCTGGATTTTGTGATGAAAGTTCAGTGGGCTGACAGCAGGACAAAAACTTCAAATACTTCAGCAAAAAGTTTAAAAGGAGCTTTAAGTCTTATAATGGCAAAGAACTATTCAAACTTTTCAGAACAAATTGCAGCTGTCAGTGAGACTTATCCTGCATATCTGAAAGCACATGGAATTTTAAAAGAGTTCAAAATCAGCCTTGCAAGGGGTCTTACTGTCACCTCAAAATTTCCATGCAGTTAAGAAGCCATTTCTGAGCTAGAATGAGATGTGTTAGACAAAAGTCGCCATTTCAAAAGAGGGTCATTTTGAAACATTTTGACAGACTTTGCACAGTCTCCTTTGCCTTCAGTGTAAATCCAGAAAACATCAGGCCAAATTAAGATTCCCAGACAAAGTTTTGCCCTAGAGAAGTTAAAAATAGGACTTTATAATACAAGCTCATTGCGGTTTAGCTTTGGGAGAGGTGATATTAACTTTGCGCAGTGATTGGGGCTGGAGCTGTACGCGTACAATACAATCCTTCCTCGTTCTTGGGATAGGATTGTCAAGAAAATTAACAGAAAATAAAAAAAATTGCCTGGAAAGTAATCATAACAAAAGAGTATCACATTTTCTAGAGTTAATCCACTACTGTAACTGCTAGAACAGCCCTTTCTCTTAGTTATCCTTTAAGAAGGCAACGGAGTCTATCAGATTCCTCTTTCAGGGAGTAGTGATGGACATGAGGACGCACTGCAGAATGCGCTGAGACGAAGGAAAGACCTCCTGCAGAAGCTTAGGGTAAGGTCTTCACTACGAGGTGACTGCTGTAGGGGATTGCAGTAGTTAAACAGTATCCTGGAGTGTGAATCAAACATGAGGTGATTGAACTTGGAGAAGACTGTAAAAGGGAAGCAAAGTTCATGAGTGCTCTTTTTCCATATTCCTGGGATACTGGGGGAAATGCTGTGGAAGTGGGTCCAACCCTTGTGCCCCAGGTCATGCTCCAGACATCCAGATCACCCCCCTTAAGATTCTTTGGGAACTTGTTGTATGGGCAGCTGCTAGTGGAGCCATGTATTATGGGGCTTGTAGGCAGCCAGGGAACTGAGTATCCCTAGAAGAGCTGGGGGGGGGGGGGAGGGAAGGAGGAGAAAGCAGCATTTGCCCAAAAGGGCAATCAATGCACACACTAGCTGTGCCACTGCAGAGGTTGACCTGGCTTTGGGATGTTTCCAGTTAGCCAGTCATGTCCTATGACTTGAAAACCAAGCATTGCTGGGGCAGATCCCCTCCTCCAGTACACAGCTCAAGCATTAGACCATGAGCTGGGTCTCTCTATGGGGCAGAGGGAAAGGAATCCCCCCCCCACTGCATTTCCTCAATCTTCAGAGTGGCTGTGGAGCCACTGTGAGTCAAATTAATCCCTGGTGTGGAGTCACTAGAGTTACATCAGGGCCAAGTGTAGCCCTATGACTGTATTCCTGTTTCCTGCCTTTACTGCACAGGGTTCTCTCTCTCTCTCTAACAAGAGCTCCTGTGTCACTTGGATCTTTCAGGAGCAGCACCTTTTGGAAGAATTTTCACAGCCCTATATGTTGGCAGGAGGCCACAGAAAGAACTACAGACCTAAGCCAGTACCTGTTTACCTGCCTTCCCCTCTGGCACCTGCACCAGAACCACCAAGGATCATCCAGCAAACAGTAAGATCTTCCCCCTGTCAGTACCAGCGTGTACCCACAACAGTACATGCGATAAGTAAGGGTAAGATTTTGTCATGGAGGTCATGGATTCTGTGACTTTCTGAGACCTCCGTGACATTATCTGCCTTAGCTCCAGCCCTGTGCTCAGAGTGGCAGGAGCCCCAGAGCTGTCAGTCTCCCCCCAGCAGCCAGCCCCCCATTATTTTTAATAAAAGTCACCAAAAGGTCACAGGCTTCCATGAATTTTTGTTTATTGCCTGTGACCTGTCCGTGACTTTTACCTACATAACCATGACAGAATCTTAACTTTCGTGTGAGGGGGCATGACTCACCACCTCCTGCTGGCTGTGCTGGGAAATAGGTCTTGGTTGTCAGTGCACCTTCCTCTAGTGGCGTCTCACTGCCATCACTTCTGCTCCCCCTCTAAGAGCCAAGTCACTCCCCAGACCACAGCGTCCTTTCTCCACTTTCTCCCCCGCTCCGGGGGGGAACCGGCTGTCTCTAGTGCAGCCACTTGCCGCTGTGGCCTACTGTAGCCTTCGGTCTGGCCCCTCACCTCAAGGAATAAACTGCAGTCTGAATACTGGCCACCCCCTCTGTAGCAAGTGAGCGGGGGGGGGCGGGGGGGGAGGGCTGAGCCCACTACTCCGGGCCCCAACTCAGGGACCCTATAGCCGGCAGCCACGTGCTGCTGCTCCTCCAACTCCCACTGCCTATTTCCCTGGGCCACTTCGCCATAGCCCAAGCACCTTCCTGGCCCTTTGTATCAGGGGCAACAGTCTGGCAGTCCTCAGGCTGGAGCTCCCTATTGACCCTGCCCAGCACCGCTCTATCTAAGGTACTCCTCTAAGACAGCCAGTCCTTCTCCCTTACACTCCAGGGAGAGACTGACTCTGCTCTGGTGACCAGCCTTTATATGGCCCTCCCTGGCCCTGATTGGCTGCTCCAACAAACCTTCTCCTGATTGGCTCTCTACAAGCCCTCCCTCCATTGGTTGGGTTTTGTGCAGCCTCCCTGAGGGCTGCTTTAACCCTCCATTTACCCGTGTAGGACAGCTGCCATATCACACTTAGCTATAAGAGACAAGTACAGCACCCGGCTCCTCACAGCACGGCGGCTATCAAAATCCTGGCTGAGCAAGTGGTTTCTCAGGCCTAGATTCACAAAAATCCTTAAGTGTTTAAGTCTGGGATTTAGGCATTTCATCCCAGTTTGAGGCACCACTGCAATTCACAAAATTTCCACAGAACCCTGGAGCACCTAAACTCACTCAGCACCTAAGTTTTTGCAGTAAAAAGTTCCTTGAGCACCTGTGTTTCGTTCTTTGAATGGGTGCACATCTGCCTCCTTCAGGGCCACCAGAACTTAAGCCCCAGAGCGATTCAAAACCCCAGGGCAGATAGGCCTTTGCCACGTAAGTTGTGTGCAGGGCCCCATCTGGTAGGCGTTTCTAGCAGCCGCCTACTGGACTGGGCCCCTCAGGCCAATTCCTACAAGACGGGAGAGAGAAAAGGAGACCCAATGGGTCAGGACACTCACCGGCGACGTGGGAGACTCCCCTTCAAGCTCCCTTTTGACTGAGGGGGGAGAAAGGCTTTGAACAGAGATCCACCACCTCTCAGCTGAGTGCCCTAACCATCAGGGCTGGCTCCAGGGCTTTGGCCGCCCCAAGCAGCCAAAAAAAAAAAAAAAAAAAAAACCGCGATCGCGATCTGTGGCAGCAATTCGGCGGGAGG